CCTCTAGTAATATATTTACTGAGAAAAATGGTGACGTGTTCAATACTTATTTTACCCGCTGTTTTTACACATAATACACACACACACAATACAAATATATAATATACAAAAATTATGTGCGTCTCCTGGAGGCTAAGCCCCCCTTGCCCTTAAAACCTAGTGAAGCCCCTGGTTTCAACAGAAGGATGGACCAACTCTTTATTTCACTTTAACCTGTCTGTAATTGTTGTTTGGACTAATCTAAACTTCTTAGAACTAAATAATTACAGTAAATAAACCAAATCAAACCACTTTTCTGACTTTAAGTCACATCAGGCTGGAGGTCTAAGGTCAGCCCAGACAGAGTGGTCCTGGTGGTCCTTCTCGCTCTGCTGGCAGCTGCTGTCATCATTGTTTATCTTCACTGTGAGTCTCTTCTGATGGATTTCTGCTTCTTAACAGAAATACAGTTCAGTCTTAACTGCTGTCTTTTCTCTAATCAGCTCATATAAATGTGAACAACCTCGATCAAACCAACCAATCCCTGAGAGAGGAGATCGAAGCTCTGAGGAAGAACCTCTCAGGTGAGACTGTCGGGGTTCAGAATATAAACAGTTAAATATGAGATTCTAAAATGAAAAATGAGACAAATTGAATTTAAACATTGCTTATTCTTTTAAACTAAATTAATGCAGCTTTCACAGCAAAGCTGACGTGTTCATGTCCTCCACCTAAAACTCAGTAAGTATGGATGTAGTGTTTGTGTCCTTCCTGTCCTGTAATGATCTTACAGAAACACTGATGGACTGACMGAWACAGGAAGTTAGATTGTAACTGCAGGACAGAAGACGCCTCCTGCTGCCTCCAAATCACACAAACATCAACACACGTTTCTTCCTCCTGACCCAATGAAGCTTTCATGTCATCTGTTCTAAAGATCGGACATGTCTGCGGTGTGGAGCAGGCTGGGAGGAACATGGAGGAAAGTGTTATTATTTCAGCATCTGTAAACTCAGCTGGACTGAGAGCAGAAGTTCCTGCAGAGATGTTGGAGGAGACCTGGTGAAGGTCGACAGCAGAGAGGAGCAGGTATGAAACACTGCTGCAGGTTCATGTTCTCACACATTTCATCACTTCATCAAGTTTCTTCATTTCAGGAAAGTCTCAGACATTTTCTTCTTCTACTGCTCAGGAGTTCCTGGTGAGGAAACTGAGAGACTTGCTCAGGAAACAGAACGTTTTGTTCTGGATCGGACTGACGGACTCAGAGACAGAAGGCAGCTGGTTSTGGGTGGACAGATCACCTCTGAATAAAAGGTTTGATTGATGTGAAAATATTTAATTTTATTGTAAAAACTAAACTCACTGCAGTTTTTTTAGTTACCATTTTTATTTATTTTTTTTATGTCACTTCTTTTCTAGTCTGAGTTTTTGGTCTTCTGGGCAGCCAAACAACCGGACGGGAAATAAACCTGAAGACTGTGTGAGGATAAGAGAAGAATCTGATCAGAACACGTGGCACGATTATCCCTGTGATGATCCTTCCAGATTCATCTGTGAGACGTCGTCATGATCTGCTCAGAGTGTGACGCTCAGTTCAGTGTGTAAAACAATCTCAGCCCAGGATCCAGAAGCAGCAGCCAGGCTGCGTTCAGGAACCTCATGTCACCAACAGTTAAAGCTTCCTTGCAGCTTTCTACACATTTGTAGCCTAAATCTTTGTGTTTCTTGTCTTTTATTCCAAGTTTAGTCAGCGTTGCTTCTTCTGCTGACTTCTGTTCTTGTTAGGCTCAGATYAGCAGGGCCTGCTTGATAAAAGTGGGATTATAATCCAGGATTATTAGTGGGRCAGCTTTGGATTCTTCATTCCTTCATGAATAAAGTTCTAGTTTCTGCTCTTCATCCACCTGCCTGCTGTTTGTTCTTTAACAATCAGATGAAAGTGAACAAACTAGAAACACTGAATGATTCAAAAGTCATAAATCAGATTTTTATCAGACAYGAAGAAGAAAATCATCTGGAGTTGACCAGAGGAGGGCAGCACATCCTCTGTGTTTTCTGATTTAATTCAGTAAGCTGCTCTGAGCGTTTCAGCTGCAGGACTTCAAGCCACCAGACAGTTGTCCTACGGTGGGGTCAGACGAGGGGAGTMAACAAGCAATTGGACCGATTGGAGTACTACCATCAAAAAATGTCCACATACCACAGTCAATATTACTGTTTAATGAAGTGACTGAACRAAATTCAACCAATCATAGAATAATGTTAATAAAAAAACAGCCTCCTGTCTGAACTGAAGACTGGATGGTTGTAATAGAAAGCATCCTACCTTAAGTTGCMTTTAAGTTACAGATAATATTAAATTAATCTAGTTTGATGGGTTCATTTAGATTGAATTACGGCCGTTAAATGACATCTATAAACACAGATACTGTTAGTGTTTACTTTTCTACAGTTCTAGTGTCATTTATTGGTTATGGTGTATTTTACTGTATACTGCATTGTGTACATCCTACAGAGCCAGGGTCCCCTCAGTTAGGAGGAGGAATAAGTGTGGAAGTGGAAGAAGGAGGAAAGGAAAGAAACAGTGATGATGAGGATGAGAAGAACATGATGGAWGAAGACAGAAAAAGTCACAGAGCAGATGATGATCCAGGTTTGTGGCCAGCAGGCTTGACTGAAACGGTCAGAGAGGCTATTGTGAGGGCACTGGCTACCACAGATGAGGATTGCTGAGCTGCCAAATAACTCAGACTCTGGTTCTGGGTCAGACTCTGGTTCTGGGTCAGACTCTGGTTCTGGGTCAGACTCTGGTTCTGGGTCAGACTCTGGTTCCAACATGTACGGCTGGATGAACAAGACTTCTGTTGTTGACATCTTTTAATTAAATTGTAAATAAAGCATTTATATATAGAAAACATAAGTCCCTCTCTCTCAAACCGGAGCGGACCGGTCTGGAAGCAGGAAGGAGGCGGGGCTTGGAAGCATCTTAAAGGAACAGTAACAAAACGAGCTGCTTTGAGACACAGCAGGAAACTGGTGAAGTTAGAATAAGGAGGAATTCAGAGCAAAGCTTTGTAGTTCCACTTTATAAAGACGCAAATGAAGGATTTAAAATCATCACGTCTATTTTAAAACTATGAATCTCCAGATGCGGGGTAGTTTTTTTCTTTTTATGTTTATTTTATTATTTGATAAAACTATTCTATGAAATTCTTGACTTCCTCTGTTCACGTTGAATAAAGATCTGAAACAAATAAATCATGAGTTTGTTCCTCATTTGAGTCGTTTCAGTTTGATTCAACATTTAAGCTTCAAACATCCCAACTTATTATTAAGATAAATAACTCGACTGCTGAAAACTTCAGCTGAAAACTTCAGCTGAAA